GCTGATTCGCGTGCCGCTGCTCCCCCTCCCTCCCAGGCTTGAGAGCCTGGGAGGGAGGGCGAGTAGCGGCGCGTGAGCGGCAGCGGAGGTGAGCTAGGGCGGCCGGGGCACATTTTTAGGGGCGGCATTCTGGCGCCGGCCATGCCGCCCCTAAAAATGTGCCGCCCCAAGCACCAGCTTGTTTTGCTGGTGCCTAGAGCCGGCCCTGCGCGTAGCTGAAGTTGCGTATCTTGGATCGATCCCCCCCTCCCCCAGTGTAGACCAGCCCACTGTCTCGCCCTGCTCCGGATCAGCTGTTTGTGGGGGGAGGGAGCAGCAGCCACGCCGCCTGGACACTGGGCAGGGTGAGTCTGCTTCTCTGGAAGGAAGCGATTTTTTTACAGGCTGCCTCCCAGATCTTCCTCCCCGTCCTCCTCCCGCTGTGCCCCCTGCCCGGCCCGGGGCCCCCTCCTCCCCTCAGCTCCCCCCTCCCACTTCCCCACTCCTTGCCCCGGTGCCCCGTCCTAGCTCCAACTCCTAATGGGGGCGAGGGACCTTGCACAGCAGCACCTGTGTCCTTCCTCCCAGCTCCAGCCTGGGCTAGAGTAGCAGCCACGCTGTCCCTCCAAGTCCTGGGAGCATCGGGCGGCTTAACACTAGTGAGGGAAATGCCCCTTCCAGCAGCTGCTGTCTCCTGAAGTGTGCAGGCATTGAGGGTCAGGGGGGCCTTAACACTGCACCCCCACCTTTACTCATCCCCCACTGCTATAAGGGGGAGAGCGGTAAAGAGCTATTGCATCACCAGCACTCACAAGGGGAGAAACACTAAATAATAATAAAGAAATAAAACACTAAAAGGCCAAAGAAATGCCTGTCCTTGACAGCAGCACAACCTCACTCCTTCCCCCTCCCATGGGATACAAAAGAGGTGGGACGAAGATCCCAGACCCAAAATGGAACATGACCCTAAGTTGTAAGGGATGGGACTGTGGGCGTGCATTGCAGATATATTTGGGCCTGCTAAGGAGGAGGAGGGGGGAATGGGAAATGAGAATAGGAAATAGGGAATGGGGAGGGAATAGGAAATGGGGACACAGGCAAGGCTCTGTGGCATCAGAGATGGGAAGGGGGACACAGGTTAATTTTTCTATCTACCCAATGGGACTCAGTGCTCAGTCCAGAAGATACCATCAGAGATGCCTAGTTTTGCCGTTCTCAAACTGTGGATTTGTGTCTCCAGAGGTAACATGCTTGTTAACAGCAAAAATGTTTTTAATAAATAAATAATGTTTAGAGGTGAGAAATAACAGACCTCAACTCTATTGTCCCTCTGCAAATTTGTGTACACAGGGTCAACCCCTTACCTCTCTTTAAAAGTGAAAAGTTTCAAAAAGTTCATGAATAAAAGATTGTTGGGGGCAGAATAGATCTGGACAAGGAAAAGTCTGGAGATAAATGTGAGAAGTGAGGGACATTTTTTTGTTGTTAAAATATTATGTTTGCTGTTGAAGGGAAAAAGTCCAGAATACTTAACATTGTTGTTTTAGTTAAATAAAACAATTTAAATGTCTGTCTGGTGATGTTCTCCGCCTAATACAGCATGGCAAGAAAATCCTCCAAATATTAATGATTAACCTGTTGAATTGGAGATAGTTCACCTCCCAATGACTTCATAAATATCTGCTTCAATTATCTTTGGTAAATGAAATAACCAAACAATCATTCATTTTCTGATATAGCTATAAAACTCATTGGAAACGTTTTCAAAATAAATCACGGTTTAAAAATGTATAGTGTGTACCTTCTAAAAATGAAACCTAAATCTATCTCTGAGTTGTGAAGAATATGTTTTAAGGTTGTAACAACCAACAAGAACGGACTTTTATGTAGAAACCCATGATTAAATCGAGTCTACCTAACTAGTGATTTAAATCATGATTTAAATCAAATCCACCCTGCCCGCTGTGCTCTTGCCCCTGTCCTCTTCATCCCCCGGGGTGTTTGGCACCGGGCCCACAAAAAATTAATCCGGCCCTGGATACAGGTGTATATCATGCAGAGGAGGGTCTGCTGACAGCGAGAGAGGGGCTGTGAGGGGCCGTATAACGGTATCCAGAGACATGGGCACCCTGTCAGAAGGGAACATATGACAGCACGGGATGATGGCACATCCGGCCAGTTGAATGGAAGTTGGTGGCTCTGAAACTCAGGCCTCTCCTATGTTTTACCTGCAGCCCATAGTTAATCTCCTTTATGTCAAAGGCATAACTGATGAGTGAAGCCTCTCCGCTCAGCATGATCTCATAGGTAGGGCCTCCCTCGACTTTGCACAGCGCCTTGGCCCGGGCAGTGATGTCGGCGTGGCCATAAAAGGTGAACGAGACCTGCTGACTCTCGCTGGGTTGCAGCATTCCATAGAGGGGCAAGATGTCAAACACCTGGTGGAGGGAGGATGGGGGGGGAGAGGGCGGAGCAAGGCAGACATGACACAGTTAAACATTTCAAAGTGCAGAAATCAGTGGATAGCAACTTCAGAAGAGCTTCATCCTGTCAAATGCCCTGGCATTCTCCTCTGCACAGCAGTTGTTTGGAGCAAGGCACAGACGATACTGGCTCCTCCAGTGGGGGCAGGCACAAATGGAATGTTTCTAATCTCCGGCTTACAACCTCCCTGATCTAAACTGAAGGGGCATAGGGGATACGTAGTCTCCATGGTCACTAAGGCAGCATTAGTGCGGTCTTGGGTGGCAGGAGGTCCTCTCAGGTGAGGTTCCTCTTCATTGGAATTCCCAGCCCTTGAAGGGCCTTCAGACAAAGAGTCAGCAGAGCCCAATGCAAGACACAGGGACTCAGTTCGGCTTACTCCCAACACGCTTGATTTTGTTCCTGTGCTGTGTGCTAAGGCAAACCACTGCCAGAATTGTTGTTATTAACCAATTAATTAGTGAAGGGATGAGTATTGAAGTCTTTACACTCTATCCAGGCAAAGCTTTTATTGAAATCAGTGAAAGTGAAGTCAATGGGAGTTTTCCCTCAGAAAGGTGTTACTGCTCTTCAGAAGAAAGGTTCTAAAAGATACATAGACTTTAAGGTCCATGAGACTTAGAACCAGTTAACACATGTTGCAATGATGGCAGCATCATACAGCGTGTGGTATAGGACATTTTGTGGGGCTGCTACAGGGGTGTCCCTGGGAATGATCCTTAGAAGTGAGGCAAGAGACAAGGGAGTGAGAGAACAGTCTTAAATCCAGTGAATCTCCTACTTACTTCTTCCACCCCTGTTGCAAGAAGGTCTTCCGACTCCACAAACCACAGTGATTCCTTGAGCTCCGCTGGGCTCTGAGTCAGAGAAATGCCTTCCACCTCATCGGCACCCACCATTAGCATCTAGGAAACAAGCAGCAGTGGTTCTCAACCAGGTGAACGTGTACCCACAGCTCTTCCAGGGGGTACATCAACTCATCTAGATATTTGCCTAGTTTTACAACAGGCTACATAAGAAGCACTAGTGAAGTCAGTACAAACTAAAATGGCATACAAGGACTTGTTTATACTGCTCTATATACTATACACTGAACTGTATGGGTCACCTGTGCAACCACACCAACGAAGCAGGCAATGCTGAATACACGACAATATTTATATTCCAATTGATTTATTTTATAATTCTATGGTGTCATAAACATACAGCTAAGGGTAGCATAAAATCCCTCTTTACCCTGTAAAGGGTTAATTCCTCTTTCACCTGTAAAGGGTTAAGAAGCTCAGATAACCTGGGTGGCACCTGACCAAAAGGACCAATAAGGGGAGAAGATACTTTCAAATCTGTGGGGGAAGGTTTTTTGTCTGTGTCTCCTGGAGTCAACAAGGAAACAGGGCAGGGAAAATACATCTCCCTAAGCCATATCTGAACTAAGCATCTAGTCTTGCAAAAATAGTAAGTAATAGCAAAAAATGTTCGATTACCTTTTGTTTTAGCTTGTAAATTTTCCCTGTGCTAAGAGGGAGGTTTATCCCTGTTTTTGTAACTTTGAAGTTTTGCCTAGAGGGGAAATGTTCTGTGTGTTTGAGTCTTTTGTTATTCTGTAAAGTACTTACCATCCTGATTTTACCGAGGTGATTCTTTTACCTTTTCTTTAATTAAAATTCTTCTTTTAAGAACCCAATTGATTTTTCATTGTTCTTAAAATCCAAGGGTTCGGGTCTGTGTTCACCTGTACCAATTGGTGAGGATATTATTCTCAAACCTTCCCCAGGAAAGGAGGATGCAGGGCTTGGGGGAATAGGACTCCAAGTGGTCCTTTCCCCTGATTCTTTGTCTAAATCACTTGGTGGTGGCAGCATACTGTTCAAGGCAAGGTGGAATTTGTGCCTTGGGAAAGTTTTTAACCTAAGCTGGTAAAATAAGCTTAGAGGGTCTTTCATGTGGGTCCCCACATCTGTACCCCAAAGTTCAGAGTGGGGAAGGAACCCTAACGTATGGTCAAAATGAGAAAGTCAGCAATTTGTTAGTAATAGTGTGCTGTGACACTTTTTGTATTTTTATGCCTGATTTTGTGAGCAAGTAGTTTTTAAGTGGGGTGAAACTTGGGGTGCACAAGACAAATCAGACTCCTGGAAGGGGTACAATTGTCTGGAAAGGTTGAGAGCCACTGAGCTAGGGCAAGCAAACTGCCACTCCCAATCTTGAGCCCACCCCGTCCTTTTCACAACAAACACTGCAGCCATTTTGCTCCTGGCTGGGTCAGTCTCTGAACATAGCATGCCTGCTGCATACATTATTGTATTGCACATACATAGGTACATCTCATCAAAAGCCAAAGGCCCAGACCCAGGTTCAGAAAAGTGTGGGCACACAACTGATGTGCAAATGAAGCAAGAGGCGTAGTTAGGTCCATACTTAGCTACTAATATATGCATTTACCTGGTTCACCTGTGCAACTGTAACCCACACACCTCCTGGGTGTGGTGGTCTGTCCCATCTAGTGGCACTTAGAGAGAGAGATAAAATGTGTCTGCTCTACAGCCTTAGCTAAGAGCCCGTTGGCTTTTAGCTCATGCACTAAGCTCCAGAGGTCCCCAGTTCAATCCTGCCCGCCGATGACAGGGGTCTGTCGGCGTTACACAACCACAGCAACCAAGCAGACAATGTTGAATACACTACAGGCCTGTATTTGAAAACGCGGCTCACAATGTATTTATGGTCACTGAGCACCATTTTTCCCAGTCAAGAGAAAATTTCCGGAGTGAATATTCCATTATGATAGTTAAATTCTTAACAGTGACCACCTGGTGACCCTGAACTAGAATGTACTGCAAACTTAACTTTGTCACCTCTTGAATTCTGTGTGTTTCACAGCGTCATAATGATACTACCCAGCTCTTCTCCACTATTTTTCATCAGTCAACCTCAAAACAAAGGAAGCCAGTAGCACTACCCCCATTTTACAGGTGGGGAAACTGAGGCACAAGAGGGGAAATGACTCGCCCAAGGTCACCCAGCAGGCCAGTGGCACAGCTGGGAATAGAACCCAGGTCTCCTGAGTCCTGTGCTCTATCCATTAGGAAATACTGCCTTCCTTTCATCTTAATGTTCCATTAACATATTCTTTTCAGTGGGATACAGAACTAGGAGGCAATTCTGATAAACATTAACATCAATGTCTAAAGAAGCACGGCTAACCGCTAAAGGTCAGAGAACTGAAGAGAATTTTCAAAGCCATGCATAAGAATTTAGCAAATGACAGACTTTGTGCCTTTCTCTCCAAAGCATCATTTCACACAAGTACCTGTTGACTTTCCTTGTCACATCCCCCATGGATTAAGAGATACAGGAAGAAGGTAGCAACTACATCAGTAGGCAGTTCTAGCTGGGTTTGAGCAGGTGTGGGGTGTTTGTAGGTCAGTCCTCAGTGTAGATTGCATTCGAAAAGACTAGGAAGTTAGAAGCTACTTGTGTAAATTAGGGAGAGAGTCAGTAACTGCTTTTGAAGTTAGTATGTAAACACAGGCCTAGCCTGGTGCTGGGTGAGAATTAGGTCAGTGGAGAAGAGAGGTGTGATTTTTCAAAGGGCTTAGTGTCGGCCTAATTTAGCTCCCGTTAAAGTTAATGGGAGTTTTACTACCAGAGACGCTGTGAAGAGCAGAGTTAGAGCGATGCAGTGAGTGCTTGAAAATCCCACCCGAGATGTATGACCTACCAAGTCAGCAGGCAATTTGGAAGGTTTAAAGGTAGGGAAGGTGACTAGTCTGATTCTGCTGGAGTGAGCAGGTCAAGCAGGTGAATGACTTCATGGGATCCAGGCAATAGGGCTAGAGGAATTGTTACCTTTATTTCTGAGGAATCATTTCTGTCCAGCGGCTCTTTGCATTGGGTCTCCTCTTCACTCGTCCCATTGACATGTTTCTCCACATCCATCTCTCTGGAGTTTCTGGGGAAACATACGGAGAGAAAAGGAATAAGTCACCAGAGCTTTACCAAGTGTCCAATAGATGTTTATCTCCTGCAGCCCGCACTAGTGGGAAATCAAACTGGGAAGCGCACAAGTCCCACTGGGTTGCTGGGAAAGGCCATCTGTGACCGCCAGATCCTCTCGGACGGCCCTGACAGCTCCCAGACGGGACGGCTGGGATAGAATGGGTCCCCTACAGAAAGCTCTGTCAGAATCCGACTCTTGAGGCTGACGATTTCTGTACAAACCTCACAGAGATGTTGCTGTCAGTTTGTTCTGAGGCTGCCTGGGTCTCCTGCTGAGTTTTCTGCTCATTTGTTGGTTCGGGTTCAATGACAGACGTACGTCCTCCAGGGCTGAACCTTGAAAATGAAATTAGGTTTAAACATGAGCATGCTGTGAAAATGCCTGCACCCGAGGGGGGAAATATTGATTTGAAATTCCCAGAGCTACCCCATCCATCCTCTCCATGCAACCGCTCCCGAACTTGGCAGGGTGAGGTCCCAGGACGGCTGCTGAGGTCTCTATTGGTACATCTGCCTGGCAATCAGGAGGCATGATTGCTGCATACGTAGGCATATTACAGCTAGCCTTGACTGAGCTACTGGCTAAAAACCGTCGTGTAGCTGTGGCAGCCTGGGCTAGCTACTCGAGTACAACCCCACCCCGGACCCGGGTACACACTCGGACAGCCAGCCCATGCTACCATGGCAACATTTCTATTTTCACTGAGCTCCTTTGATCAATGCTCGCTCAAGTGTGCCTATGAATACTGTCCGGATTGCAGTTCAGACATACCCTATGCATGAAACTGCTCAACTGTCACTGCTCCCAGCTGCTGCGGGAACTGAGTATGAGTAGCTAATGGACAACATTGAGTATTTCAGGCTGTAAAGAGGAGGGCAGGTCATGCTGCACCTCACAGAGAGACCACTTTCCATGCAGATACAGTGTGGCCGTGTATTGGGGCAGCTGCTCCATTCTGGTGTGGAAGGGGTTAAAGCAAGCCAGCGAGGCTGCACAGCGCCACAGCCAATCCTGGAAGGGCCTATTGGGAGCCAATCAAGTGGTGACTTAAAAGCAGCCAATCATGGCCAGACTGGGCCCTATAAGAAGGCTGCAGGGTAGAGAGGAGCTCAGTCTCTCCCTGGAGGGCAAAGGGAGAAGAACTGGCTCTTAGAGAAGCACCTAAGATAGAGCTGGGCTGGGCAGGGCAGGGCAGGGCAGGGCAGGGCAGGGCAGGGCAGGGTCAGCAGAGGATGGGCGAGCTCTGGGTTGACGACTGCCGGACTGGGGCCCTTACACAAAGGGGCAGAGAAGGTGATGGGGAAGTGGCCCAGGGAAGTAGGTAGTAGAGGAGAGTTGGAGGAGTAAGTGGCTGTGGCTAGAGGGTCCCTGGGTCGGGGCCTGGAGTGGGGGGCCTGGCCTCCCCTCTTTCCCCACCACTTGCCAGTGATGAGAGTGGCTAAGCCAGACGGCAGTTTGCCCTTGGAGGAAGGGGCTAGACTGAGGACTGCAGTGAGCCACTGAGGTGAGTGATAGCTCCAGAAGCTGCTGGTCCCTGGAAGGGGGGAGAGCCAGCGGAGCGGGCGCAGCCGGAGGGCAGTGTCCAGAAGCAGATGCCGTGGTCTGGGAGTGACGTGGGTCTGACTGTGAGGACAGTGGAGACCACGAGAGTAACGGTGAGCGAGACACCACTAGCGAAGGCGTACTGCTGAAAGAGCTAATTCCCAAACCAACCAGCAGGAGGTGCCACTGTGGTGAGTCTGCACCCCGTTACAGGCCGATGTTGGTGTCTTTGATTTCATTGGAGCAAAGAACTAAGGGGGAAAGATACTGATGTACTGATACAAGGAGTAATGATCTCAAGTTGCAGTGGGGGAGGTCTAGGTTGGATATTAGGAAACACTTTTTCACCAGGAGGGTGGTGAAGCACTGGACTGGGTTACCTAGGGAGGTGGTGGAATCTCCGTCCTTAGAGGTTTTTAAGGTCAGGCTTGACAAAGCCCTGGCTGGGATGATTTAGTTGGGGATTGGTCCTGCTTTGAGCAGGGGGTTGGACTAGATGACCTCCTGAGGTCCCTTCCAACCCTGATATTCTATGATTCTATTGCGGGGCAGTGAGGTGTTGGGAAAAGAGAGGAAGAGGGCACGTTAAAGATTTGATTCTCTTGCCTCACCAAAAAAAAGGCTATGCTGAAAAATGAGAGGCAGTGCATTTTCTGTGCAATGAAACTATACCTGTGGAAGAAAGAGGTGTGTGTGTCATTACAGAGGGGTCACCTTCTAGCTAGAGCATTGCATCCCAATGAACACTACATCCAGAGCCTTAAAACCAGTCACTCACTCAAATCACACATGTGCATCACAGCTAACTCTCTACGTGGCAAGGCTAAGCACGTCTAAGGATCTTAGTGGCATTGCACCGCAGTCTATTTATAAATAGCTCCAATTAGTAACATCCACTTGCTGTAACTTTCTTCTATTTGGAGGCCAGTGGCCTTTGAAAGGGTGAGAATTTCTTTCTGACAGGTCTTTCTCACTGCATCTACACTAGATTTTTATCCCTGAAATGCCCATTGTAGCTGCCACAGGTACAGGTCCCCGGGTAGTAGTAATGATCTGAACTCTAATGTAGACATACCACTGGCACCAATGGCCTTCCAACCACATCACCTAGCTCTGCTCAAAGCACGTGGAGACAGTTGAAAAAGAGCAGCATCCCCCTGAGCCTTGTTTACACTACAGCAAACCACCACTGTGCTAGATCTGCCGTAGTGATGATGGGAAATTCCCTGGGGGTGGGGGGAATCTAATGTTAGACAAGGCCTCAGAGCACAAGGGAAAACAAATCAAGTGCTTCCAATGACAGCTTTACAACTACATATGCTGCTGACTGGCATAAGTGAGGAGCAAACATAGCAGCAGCAATACGAAGTGACTTTGAGAGTAAGCTTTGGTCCTTCTAGGTTAATATCCACAAATCCCTTACAGACGCCCCCCGGGTTACGCAAACCCGACTTGTGCAAATCCGCATTTACAGAAAAAGTTCCGTAAGCTAGAAATAGGAGGTGGGTTTTTTCTTTTTCTTTTTTTTGCGTAACGGTCGGGTATACGTTTCCAACTTACACAAAATTCGAGTTACACAAGGCGTTCCAGAACGGAATGCTTGCGTAAGTCAGGGAGCGTCTGTATTTGACTGTATTTGTAATCTTAGGTGCCTGCGTCACTCTTGAAAACGGAATTTAGGGCTAAATTTCAAAGGCCTGGTCTACACTACGAGTTTAGGTCGACTTTAGCCGCGTTAAATCGACTTAAGCCTGGACACGTTTACACTACGAAGCCCTTTCTGTCGACTTAAAGGGCCCTTTAAACCGGTTTCCTAACACCACCTCGACAAGGGGATTAGCGATAAAATCGACCTTAGGGGGTCGGAATTGGGTTAGTGTGGACGGAATTCGACATTACTGGCCTCCGGGAGCTATCCCACAGTGCTTCATTGTGACCGCTCTGGACAGCACTCTCATCTCAGATGCACTGGCCAGGTAGACAGGAAAAGCCCCGCGAACGTTTGAATTTCATTTCCTGTTTGCTCAGCGTGGAGAGCACAGGTGACCATGCAGAGCCCATCAGCACAGGTAACCATGATGGAGTCCCAGTCCCAGTCCCAGGATCGCAGAAGAGCTCCAGCCTGGACCGAACGGGAGGTACAGGATCTGATCGCCATCTGGGGAGATGAAGCAGTGCTCGCTGAACTCCGAAACAGTAAAAGAAATGGCAAAACATTAGAAAAGATCTCCAAGGCCATGAAGGACAGAGGCCATAACAGGGACGCGCGGCAGTGCCGCGTGAAAATTAAGGAGCTAAGGCAAGCCTACCACAAAGTCAGAGACGCAAACGGAAGGTCCGGGGCAGAGCCGCAAACATGCCGCTACTACGCGGAGCTGCATGCCATTCTAGGGGGTGCAGCCACCACTAGCCCAAGCGTGTTCTATGAGTCCCTCTCTGCAAACGGGGAAGCGGGTTCGGCGGACGAGGAAGATGAGGATGGAGAGAACATAGATAGCTCACAGCAGCAAGGAAGCGGAGAAACCAGTTACCCCAACAGCCAGGATATGTTTGTCACCCTGGACCTGGAAACAGTAACCCCCGAACTGACCCAAGACCCTGAGGGCACACAGGGGGGGACCTCTGGTGAGTGTACCTTTGCAAAAATTACACATGGTTTAAAAACAAGCGTGTTTAATGATTAATGATTAATTTGCCCTGGCAATCGCGGCCAGTACAGCTACTGGAAAAGTCTGTTAACGTGTATGGGGATGGAGCGGAAATCCTCCAGGGACATCTCCAGAAAGCTCTCCTTCATGTAATCCCAAAGCCTTTGCAAAAGGTTTCTGGGGAGGGCTGCCTTATCCCGTCCGCCATGGTAGGACACTTTACCACGCCAGGCCAGTAGCACGTAGTCTGGAATCATTGCATAACAAAGCATGGCAGCGTATGGTCCCGGTGTTTGCTGGCATGCAGACAACATCCATTCCTTATCGCTCTTTGTTATCCTCAGGAGAGTGATATCATTCACGGTCACCTGGTTAAAATGGGGCAATTTTATTAAGGGGACATTCAGAGGTGCCCCTTCCTGGTCTGCTGAACAGAAATATTCCCCGCTGTTAACCACGCGGTGGGGGGGAGGGGTGAAGTGACCATCCCAGAGAATTGGGTGTGAGGGGGAGGGGAGTTAGTTGGGTTTGTGCTGCATGTTAAACCTGAAATCGCAGCCCATCCTTTTACATTGCAAACCCATTTTAAATGGCACGGGTGCTTGGTATGGGAAATGAGGGCAGAACTGTTTGAAACCATCCCCACATGTTAAGAAGGTTAAAAAAGCCCAAAGACTATATGTCTTACCATGGCTGCCTGCAAGCTGAAATCTGTGTCCTGGCACTGCGTGAGTGATCTCTCACACCAAACCAGGAGACTCT